AATTTGGGGTGGAAGGGGCACAACTCATTTTTCAAAGTTGAAAATTCACATGAGAACTGAGAAAGAAGTTGCATGTACAGACTCATACACAGTCACATCAACCCAATGGGTAAATCATCAACAAAGTTGTTCTTCTATTGATATTAGGCTTAACTGTTATGGAAATTAAAAACATATATCAATTTATTAAAAGTGTATTCTTCTCATTGTGCAGGCCCAAGACTAGGCAATGTCTAAATATATATGTAATACATTTTTTTTTTATTTTTTGACAGGCAGAGTGGACAGTGAGAGAGAGAGACAGAGAGAAAGGTCTTCCTTTGCCGTTGGTTCACCCTCCAATGGCCGCCGTGGCCAGCACGCTGCGGCCGGCGCATCGCGCTAATCCGATGGCAGGAGCCAGGTACTTCTCCTGGTCTCCCATGGGGTGCAGGGCCCAAGTACTTGGGCCATCCTCCACTGCACTCCCTGGCCACAGCAGAGAGCTGGCCTGGAAAAGGGGCAACCGGGACAGAATCCGACGCCCTGACCGGGACTAGAACCCGGGGTGCCGGCGCCGCAAGGTGGAGGATTAGCCTAGTGAGCCGCAGCGCCGGCCTATGTAATACATATTTAGAAACCTAATCTAGAGATAAAAGTAAGAAGTGAATATATATTTATTTATAATATTTATTTATTTATAATATTTTATAATATATATTTATTTATAATATATTATAATTATATATTATATATTATAAATAAATATATATTCAACTCTTACTTTTATCTCTAGATTAGTTTTCTAAATGACTTTTCATGAAATTACCTTTAGTTTGGTGCCACCTATGTGCACTGAGGAATGTGAAAATAAGCACTAGCATAAGCGCTATTTATTTGAGTGATGTCACATTTCAGTCCACCTCCTTGCACATCATCCTCACTATGAGAACACACAAGGAGACATTTAGTTCTCTCTTAGGAAACATATGATTGGCCTGAACAATTACACTCTTTATGGCATATACATACATTGAACCTCTTTTAGTTTGAACACCTAGGGAATTCAGATAACTCTCTGACAACTGTGCGAATGCCAACCACTGGTGACTGTTATTTGTTCCTCAATTGTGTTCTATTTTTCTGTATTTCTTTTTGCCTAATTTCCCATTGATTTTATTGGTGTATATATTTTGTTAACCAACAGAAATGCATTTTACAAAAAAGAATATGGGTATTTTAGGAATAAACCAGTGGATTGACATTTCTCTGTTTCTCTGTCTGCCTATCTTTCTTGGCTTTTTAAAGATTTATTGATTTATTTTAAAGGCAGAATTACAGAGAAAGATAGAGTGAGATCTTCCACTTGGTAATTCTTTCCCCTAAATGGCCACAAAGGCCAGGACTGGTTCAGGCCACAGCGAGGAACCTGAAACTCCATCTGGGTCTCCCACATGGGTAGCCAAGGCCCATATACTTGGAATATCTTCTGCTGCTTTTCCAGATGTATTAGCAGGGAGCTGGATTAGAAATGGAATAGCCAGGACTTGAACCAGCTCTCCAATATGGGATGCTAGCATTGCAGGCAGTGGCTTAACCCATTGTGCCACAACACTGACTTGTCTCTGACAATAAAATAAAATAAAAATAAAAATAAGCTTATGTCAATATTTAAAGAGATGGAAAAAAGCAAAACATCCAGTTGCCTGCAAAAATAATTAGATAGATAAGCAGTCTCATTTATAATTCTATACCATTAGCAATGAGATTTTTTTTTAAATTTTTAAAAAGATGTTATTGTCTTTGAAAGAGTGACACAGAGAGAGGTAGACACACACATACACACGAGAGAGAGAGGGGGAGAGAGAGAGAGAGAGAGAGATCTTCTGTTAGCTGGTTCACTCCTCAAATAGTTTCAGAGCTGGGCCAGGCCAAAGGCAAGAGACAGGAACTCCATCAGTTCTCCTATATGGATAACAGGACCCAAGTACTTGGACCATCACCTACTGCCTTTCCATGTGTATCAGCAGAATACTGGATCAAAAGAAGAGCATCTGGGACTTGAATCAGCACCTTACTGTGGGACATCAGCGTCACAAGCAGTGGTATATCCCACGGTGACACAAAGTAGGCTCCTAAATTACTTACTTACTTACTTACATTTGAGGCTGAAAGGTAAACAGAGACACAGATAGACAGAGCTCCCCTCTGCTGGTTCATTCCCCAAATACCTACAATACCTGGGGTCAAGCCAAAGCGGGAGCTGGAGACTCAATTCACGTCTCCTAAGTGGGTGGCCAGAACCTAATTACTTGGGCCATCACCACTGCCTTCCAGAATCTGCATTCACAGGAGGCTGGAATAAAGAGCCAGAGTCAGGAACCAAACTCAGGTAGTCCAATGTAGGACCAATGAGGCTAAATGCCCAGTCCCTAAAATGGCACTTTTGAACAGCTTACTACATAGTTGCAGCAGGAAACATCTGAGTGGCCAGAGGTGTAGCTGACTGAGGCAGCAACAAGGTATCTGGAATACTGACCCTAAGGCTGGTGGGGAATGAAAGGAGGAGCTAGCAGAAGAATCCACAGTGGATCCCAAGATGCTCAGGGTTATGGAAAGGTTGCAGATAAACAGCTGGAGTGGGAATGTTACCCATACGAGGAGAACAGTGTAATTTAGTTATAACTTCTTTCAAATCCAATGGATATCCCACATCATGAAATTGAGCATGTTCTCCCAATATTAAAATGGTGTCCCTTTTCTACGGCAACAGTCTGGGTACTGGGGACTTTGTACTACTGGTTTCCTACATCTGTGTGCAGACACCTGTGCTACCTGGGCTCCTGGGCGCCAGCCACACCTTCATGCTCCTCAAGGGAAATCACAGATCTGAAGAGAGCATTGTTACTCTTCTTTCTCTGCAGAATGAGTCAGACACTAGTCAAAGTGCTAGACAATGACAATGCCATTTATGGAAAATTCCAAAGTAAGGAAGGTGTTCCTCCTTAGCAGATCTGGGGAGGCATTTCTCCGTCTACTGGCTAAGATGGTGCCTGGGGATGTAACACAATAGATATGGGTGTTGTGGTTTTGGATAAAGTAACCCACTCTTATCTCACGGCAGCCATCATCAGAAAGTTTTAAGAAGAGAAAGAATAAAGAGGGCTAGTTCCAAATGGACAGAAAAGAAAGAATATTTTATCTTCTGAGGGACAGATTTCTTGAGCAAGAGTGGAATATTTCCAGAGAGCTATTTTCCTTCAAATAAACATACTATGTCACATGAGGGGAAAAGCCAACACTTTGTGCTAACCCTACGGTAGATAACAAAAAGGCAAATTGCCTGTAGGGTAAAGCCTTCCAGTAAAGCAAACACACCAGATCACAATCTGTGGGAAATCATTCACTGAAATGCTAGGGTTCAAAATTAGGTATGATGAGTTCTAGATTGTAACTTTAAAAAAAAAAAAGTGACAAAATTAGGATAACACTTTGCAGTTCCCTGACCATCCTTATTGTACTCTCATTCATTATCACAAGCACCTCTCTTAATACTGCAATTGTATGTGAAAGGAAAGTAAAACTCAGGGAACTGTGCCATAAATGAAGTCACAGAACTTGAACAGAGCCAGGCTTGTCTCAGGTCATCTGACTCCATAAGGGAGCTGCCAACTATTGCACCACACTGGCCCCCTGGTGGAATCAGTGCTGTACACCAGCTCTGAACAAGTGTTCTGAATATCTCATTGGTACCAGTACTGGCAGTAGATTTTTAACATGCAAGTAGTTCAGAAACACATGTGGATGCTTGTTATCAGTTTCCTGATTTTAGATAGGACAATGGCGCTTCTACCTATCAGAAGTAACCAGAGAAGCTGCCTATGGTCACATGTTGTCTGAATCAGCAAAGACGGTGACATACTCCAGAACCCGTACCACTGCATGCAGTCTCTCTAACAAACCTTTAAATTATGTTGCATTATAGCAGCCTCAAAATTCCAGTCCCTGTCTCTTTTCTATACACACAGGATATGTTAGGACAGTATGTGTGAGTCACCTTTGTGGTACTCTCTGTCTCCAATACAGTCCTCTTTCCATGGCAAATACTCAAGAGATATTCATTAAATTCTTAAATTTTGTTCAAACTCTATAAATCATTTTGAAAAAAAATTACATTAATTTAATTTTCTTATAATTATATGCCTGTTGAAAGTAAGATCTAATATTCATGCTTTGTCCAAGGCAAGAGGCACTATTTAATACTAACTACCATCTATGTCAGAATGTGATGATTTCTGAAATGTCTGGATAATTTCACTTGGTTTATGTATATAGTTTCTGTGCTAAGCTGTATTATGCTACTAAATGGAACAATCAAACTAATTTCACTTATTCCCAGGAAAGAGAGAAGACTTGAAGATACAAAACACCTTTGTTCTTTCTAGATTGGAAGCAACTGTAAGGGCAATGTCATAATCCTGATGTTAAATTCTGACCACCCTGCATTTAAGATAGAGTTCCCTAAACTGACCTCACACATGAAGCTGCAAATAAATACAGGATACCTGCATCTGATATGCTGGAATTTCTTACTTTCACCAAAAAAAGAAAAAGAAAAGGAAAAAGAAACCTTCATAGTAAATTAAAATATAAACAGCAGACTACTGAAGGCTTAATTTTAATTAATAGTTTCATTGCTGCCATGTCACTCACTGCAGTAATTAGAAAAAAATGAAAATGTGAACACTCTTTGATTTAATCATGTTATCCACCTGTTTTTATTTTGTTTGTCTGCTTTTTAGCAAATACAGTGACCCTTAATCCCTGAAAAGAATAGCTAATTGGTAGTCCCTGGTTATAAAGAACAGTAATTTAAGAACAGAAAGTATTCTAGACATGTACAAATAAACACATCTGTGGAATTAACGTAAGAACTATTTGGTTAACTTTGCCAGAACCAACTTTCAGATATTGAATTTTATATCTGGGAAAAAAGTTAAAAGTATGGAAAACAAACATACCACAGGCAAAAGAGTTCCTAAGATTCACCAAAGGGAAATGGAACAAGTGAATTCCTCCATCTGTTCATACATTTTTTTTTCATTGCATTTGGAAGCGTGCTAGACAGAGATAACTTTGTTCAATCCCGAAGTGCGACTTGACATGGCTGTTGTTCCTGGCGCCCGACGGCACTGTGCAGGATCTATGAGGTCCAAGGAGCCAGCCAGGAAAAGTCGGCTGCCAGTTGCTGCGAGAGAATCAGAGCCACAAGCACAGGCTCCTCCTCCCCCTCCTCCAAGCACACTCAGGAATTCAATTCATCAAGAAACTCATCATCTGGAGTTGCTAACAGCAGACTTCTCGGAATGAAAGGTGATGTGTGTCGCCCATTGCAGGATGATTAAGGGGGCTGAGGGAAGCTTGCGCTCTGCTTTGGTGTTGCTAAGTCATCTGTGTCTTTCACTCACTCATTTTTCACCCAGAAGCCCCATGTCTCCTTTTCTTCCCGCAAACCTGCATGTTTCGAATAATCCTTTTCCTTTCAGTGGCTTTGCCATTTGCAAACAAGAATGGACTCAGTAGGTTGTATCTCTGGGATCCAAGCTGCCTATCAAACTGGTGCCTTCCTGGTTGCTCTGAAAACTCCTGGTGCCTGAGATGGTCCCAGATATCCGTAATAAGCGTTTGGCAACCTGGTTCACTACACAACCCCCTACCTTCCTCTTCATGACAGGCATGGAGTTCCACGTCTGTATTATAGGCATCAGAATGTTAGAATAAGCAATTGTGATGTCATCAAAAGTGAAAAGGTTTACATTTGCTACCAGCCCATCCAAAAGCACAATATTTAATAAGCTCTGCAGAATATCCAGCGAAATTTGTCTTTAGCATTTATTCTAGGCAGCAGAAAGCTGGCCTTCTGTGTCATGCAACTCATGCATGGGTTAAGGATGCTCAAGGAATAGCTTCTCCACATGGAACAAAATTATTTTCACAGCAATATACATAGAACAAGGCCTCATGCACTGAACTGAATTCTATATACACTGCACTTACAAAGTCAAACCACAGGGCGGGACAGGGGAGCTGCTGTAGGGCAGCGTGTTAAGCAGCCTCTTATGATGTCAGCATCCTGTATCAGACAGAGGATTTACCTCTGACTCAGCTTTCTACTAATGTGCCTGGGAGGCAGCAGAGGATGACTCAGCTACTTCAGCCCCTGCCACCCATGTGGGAGCCCAGAATGAAGTTGCTGACTCCTGGCTTTGGTCTGGCCCAGATCTGGCTGTTGCAGCCATTTGGGGGGTAAACTAATAGATGGAAAATCTCTTTGCCACTCTCTGTATCCCTCCCTCCCTGCTCAAATAAATAATAAAGTTTTTTTTTAAATTGAACTTTACCACATCTCAATTAAAGGATTAATATCCAGAATATATCAGCAATTCAATAAAAACAATAACAATAAACAATACAATTAAGAAATGAGAGCCGGCGCCGTGGCTCAATAGGCTAATCCTCCACCTTGCGGCGCCGGCACACCGGGTTCTAGTCCCGGTCGGGGCGCCGGATTCTGTCCCGGTTGCCCCTCTTCCAGGCCAGCTCTCTGCTATGGCCAGGGAGTGCAGTGGAGGATGGCCCAGGTGCTTGGGCCCTGCACCCCAGGGGAGACCAGGAAAAGCACCTGGCTCCTGGCTCCTGCCAGGATCAGCGCGGTGCGCCGGCTGCAGCGGCGGCCATTGGAGGGTGAACCAGCGGCAAAGGAAGACCTTTCTCTCTCTGTCTCTCTCTCTCACTGTCCACTCTGCCTGTCAGATGGAGGACCCAAATAAAAAAAAAAAAAAAAAAAAGGATTTGGCCTAGGGTTCCTAAAAAGGGCGGTTTTTAAATTAAGAAAATATGACTTGGCCCAACAAAATATATAAAGAAAATGCCTCAGTTGGCACCGTGGCTCACTTGGCTAATCCTCCACCTGAGGCGCCGGCACCCCGGGTTCTAGTCCAGGTTGGGGCACTGGGTACTAGTCCCGGTTGCACCTCTTCCAGTCCAGCTCTCTGCTGTGGTCCGGGAGGGCAGTGGAGGATGGCCCAAATGCTTGGGTCCCTGCAACTGCATGGGAGACTGGGAGAAAGTACCCGGCTCCTGGCTTCGGATGGGAGCAGCGAGGGCCATAGCGGCTTTTAGGGGAGTGAACCAATGGAAGGAAGACCTTTCTTTCTGTCTCTCTCTCACTGTCTATACCTCTCTCTGTCTCTCTCTCTCATTGCCTAACTCTGCCTGGAAAAAAATAAAAAGAAATGCTCAATATCACTGGCCATCAGGGAAAGGCAAACGAGAACCATAATGAAACCACACCTCACCCTTGTCAGAATGTTATTCTTTAAAAGATAGAAAACAACGAATGCTAGTAATGATGCAGACAAACGGGAACTCTTATACATTGTTAGTGGGAAAGTAAATTAGTGCAACCACTGTGGAAAACAGTATGGAGATTTCTTTGAAAACTAGAAATAGACTGGCTTCCCAATCCAGCAACCCCACTACTGGGTGTATACCCAAAAGATATGAACATGTTGTATCAAAGAGATACTTGCTTCTGTTCAAAATAGCTAAAGTGGGAGTATTGTTTAAAATAGCTAAAATACTAACATATCTTGAAAAAGACTCCATAATCACAGGCAATCAAAGCCAAAATTGACAAACAGGATTGCATCAATTTGAGAAGCTTCTGTACTACAAAAGAAACACTCAGCAAAGTGAAGAGGGAACCAACAGAATGGGAGAAAATATTTGCAAAATATACAACTGATAAAGGATTAATATCCAGAATGTATAAAAAGCTCAAGAAACTTAACAACAACGAGACAAACAATCCAGCTAAGAAATGGGCAAAGGACTTGAAGAGGTATTTTTCAACAGTGGAAACCCAAATGACCAATAGACACATGAAAAAAATGCACAGGATCACCAGCCCTCAGGGAAATGCCAACCAAAATCACAATGAGGTTTTACCTCACCCCCATTCGAATGGCTTTCATACAGAAGTCAACAACAAATGCTGGCAAGGATGTGGGGGAAAAGGTACCCTAATCCGCTGTTGGTGGGAATGTAAGCTGGTACAGCTACTGTGGAAGACAGTATGGAGATACCTCAGAAATCTGAATATAAACCTACCATATGACCCAGCCATCCCATTCTTTGGAATTTTCCCAAAGGAAATGAAATCAGCATGTAGAAGAGTTATCTGTACCCCCATGTTTATTACAGCCTAATTCACAATAGCTAAGATATTGAATCAACCCAGATGTCCATCAACTAATGACTGAATAAAGAAATTTTGGCATATGTACACCACGGGATAATGCACAGTGATTAAAAAAAATGAACTCCTATTGTTTCCAACAAAATGGATGAACTGGAAAACATTATACTTAGTAAAATAAGCCAGCCCCCAAAAGACAAATATCATATGTTCTCCCTCATCTGTGGTAACTAGTAGAGTACCTAAAAGGTAATCTATAGAAGTGAAATTGACACTTGGAAACGTGCTGACTTTAAAAAGCCCTTGTCTCAACTACTGAGAAACATTTTTATTTTTTCATACTATTTGTGGAACACTTGACTTAGTGTAGGGTTAATCTGATGTGTATGAAGTTAATTGAAAGTAGATCTTAGTAAAAAAGAAGAATGGAGTAGGAGAGGGGAGAGGGAGTATGGGAGTGCAGGTGGGAAGAATTACTATGTTCCTACATTTGTATATATGAAATGCATGAAGTTTGTATACCTTAAATAAAAGGTTTATAGGTTTAAAGAAAAAATGAAATAACTACAAAAATAGCCAAAATATGGATAAATCAAGGTATCCATCATCACATGAATGCATAAAGAAAATGTGAAATATGGAATGGAATATTATTCAGTTACAAAAAAGAATGAAATTCTATCATTTGCAGCAAAGTGGTTATAACTGGATGACATAGTGTTGAGTGAAATAAGCCAGACATTGAAAGGCAAATACTGCATATTATCCCTTACATGTGGGAGCTCAAATTCAAGAAAGCAATAGAGAAAGAGAGAGAGAGAGTGAGAGAGCCTATGTGTATCAGTTTTGCTACAAAAATATTGCTGTGGCAAATTTTGTTTTAAATCTTTATCAAACAAACTGATAGGAATTATATACCACTTAGTTTTAATGATCTGTGACTATTTCAAAATTTACATTATGTGAGTGAAGTTGAACTTTATTATTGTATAGCCCATGCCTATTTTCCTACTGGACTGTGGTCTTTCTACATTTTATATGTTGAACTCCTTAGAGCCAATAAGCCTTTGACAATAATGTAAATGAAAAATATGCTATCTCAAAAAATAAGAAAATATTTTCATAAATTTTTTTTAAAAATAGAGGCATAAAATAGAAAAGAAAATCTCAGTGGTTCATTTTATGATACATCTACCTTTTTACATGAAACAGCATTTATTTGGAACTATCACATATTTTAATTGTGATGTATCTGTGCATACATAGGATAGTGGGAGGTGTTTTTAAGAAATTTTTATAACAAAATGACAAAATAAAAAATGTGGAAAGAAACAAGATATAGCCAAGATATGATTAATGCAAGAACATGCTATAATTCTTACATAATCATCAGAGGTGGACTATGCATTACATTATAAACTTCTTAGTAACTAAAGAAAATATACTAGTTATGAGATGTATCTGCAGGAGCAAAAATATATGAAACTCTGACATAAATTTCTTCCACATCTCTTAGTCCTCATAAAGTGGAAAGTATGTGAAACAGAAAAGAAGTCTTTAAAAATTATTATATCTCTATATCTTGTGGTTTAAAATAATTCGGTATAAATATATCTTACTGGCCAACGAACATGTGACTTGAAAGCAGAACAAGCTAGTGTCTAGATGTTTTGCAGTTGTATTATAAAGTATGTGCTTGTGTCTCAGGGAAACTCAGTTTCCATTCTTTAATCAAATGCCATGTAACAGTACAACATAGGGTTAAGAAAATGGAATCTGGGTCAGGCATTTGGCCTTGTCCTGAAGATGCCCACATAAAACTCAAGAGTGCTTGTGTTTTACCTGGATCCAGATTCTGACTCCAGTTTCCAACGAAAGCAGACCCTGGGAGGCCGCAGGTGATGGCTTAAGTGAATTGGATCCCTGACACCCATATGGGAGTCCCAGACTGAGTTACTGGCTCCTGGCTTTGGTCTGGCCTAGCTCTGGTTGTTGTGGGCATTCAGGGAGGAAATAAGTGGATGGAAGCGCGCTCTCTCTCTCCCGCTCTCTCCCTCTCTCTCTCTCTTTCAAATACATGAAACAAATATTTTTAAAAAACATTTGGAAGTCAGTCATCCACACACACGTTCTTAGCTGGTGTTAAAAAGGCAATGCTAAATCACCCAGAAAACTAAATTCAGAACTGAAAAATAAACTTAAAAATCGACACCAAGTATCTGCAGGCATGACTCACATGGAAATAATCTATGAAGAAGAAAACACAAAGATGTTTGTCATCCTTCCTGGCTTGTTATGTCCAATGGGGAAATAAATTCCTTAATTGTATATGTTACGGTTTCCATTTCAGCCCATGTCTATTATACATTAAATCTACTGAGCTTAGTTTTTCATTTCATTAAATTAGATCCACACAGTTCTAAATATTGCAGTCCTCCATGATACTAAGTCATTCATCATCCAATCCTTAATTCCACAACTGAACAACAGTAGATGCATAGGTTAAGTTATGTGGCTGTTTTAGGCAGGGATTCGTGAGATGCCTTATCCTTGCTGTCTTTGGAAAGTCCGGCAAGGAAAGTCACAAGATCTTTGTGTGCATCTGAGCTTTAGCACCCATGAGTTTGTGACTTTGGATCAGATTCTTAAATCTTTTCATCTCAATGTATTTAAAGATAAAAAGAGAAATGTAATTATCCTCAGTTCAAGGACATATTATGAGGATAACATGAGATGTGTGTGAAAGCCTTTGAAAATAAGAAAATATTATACTGAAGAAGAACCATAGTTCATGGTTTGACTCTCACTTGATTATATTCAGAAATATGATCCTAGTATTTTAGGCAAGCATTATTTTCAAGGGAGAATTAGTTACAAATAAGAAGCTCAGTTTTTCTTTATACTTTAAGTTGCAGGACCTAACTGACCCAGGCTTTCTTCCCTAAATGTTTCTAATAGTCATATCTTCTTAAGATACTAAAATAAGCATTAAAAGTTTGCCTATGAACACAAAGTTATGGAAAAAGTGGTAGAGTATGTTCCAAAAGTTACGTGAAAAACTCTCAAATCAAAGTGCTGCAGTTTAGGGGGAGGCACCATGGTGTGGCAGATGAAGCTTTCATCTGAAGGGCCAGCATCCCATGTGGACACCTCTTCAAGTCTCGGCTGCTCTGCTTCCAGTCCAGCTCCCTGGTGATGCTCCTG